AAGTCATAACAACAATCAACAATCATAGATCCTTTTTTTTTTGGCAAAGTCCGCAAGCATCATCATCATCATTACAAATTTTTGGCTGAAGTCAATAGGTTTCATGATCATATTTGGTTTGATATAAATTTTTTAATATTGATGTCCAAAAGCATGCTAATGTTTATTTAGAAGTTGTGTGTGTGTCTGTGTGTGGAATATGTTATGAATGAGTATACTAGTCACTATAATATGTTTGCCTAATTATTATGCTGCTCTTGTTAGTAATATTAAAATATGATCACATTGTAATATACATGTTGACGTCTAACTAGTAGCAATATAGAAAAGGGTTTTATTAGACTACTCCCTATGTGGTGCATTCTTTAAGCCAACTCAACAATTTAGACACTTGATACTCTTACTTCAAAATATTGTAACTTTTATCTAAGAGTATTTTAGGTAATTAATCAAATATATAGTATTATTTTTTATTACAAACAAGAGCATTTGTTAACTATTATGGGGAATGACATCACTCACATATGATGTGACATCATCCAACTGTGAGTGACATCATCCATATAGAGCATTAATTGCTTTGTAATAACTAATAAAATATTATTGACCTCTTCTAATAATTATCTATCATACCCCTCACTAATATCAAAAAATTGCCCTTACTAAAAGCGTTTTGATATTACAATACAATGATAATAAGTGTAAGTTGAAAGAAAACTCTATGAGCAAGAGTAGCCTCAAAAATTCCTCCTATAAAGCATTCCCTTAACCTACTCAACTTCTTAGACAATCATTACCCTAGCCTTTTAATACAACAACTATTTTGAGAAAAGGCAATTGTTGTCATTAGTAAGGGGTATAATAGATTTTTTAAACAATATTTTACTACTCATTAGAAAAAAGTTAATGCTCCATATATGCAATGTCACAACCCATGCAGTCATATTATATCCCATATAGATGGTGTCATTCTCCACAATAGTTAATAAATGTTCTTTGTTTCTACAAAAAATTCTACTTTACCCTTGATTAATTACTTAAAATACCCCCAAAAAATTCTACAAAAATTCAGTAATAAAAGATATGAAGTGTTTGAAGATGTTGGTGGAATACAACATGAAGGGAGTAAGCCTGATAAAACCCAACATAATATGTAAGTCTAATGCTTCACTGGCATTAGATGCCTTATGAATATGTTTAATCTTTTTCTTTTTTCTCCCTTCTAAATTACTTCTCAAACTTCATTCAGACATATAATCTTCTCAATATATTTATAGACGATTTGGACAGACAATCTTCCTTTACAAACCATGGATTATTGGACCAAAACCATGATCTTGACTTGACATGGCTCATGTTAAGTTGGTCTTAAAGTAAAACAGACACTTTAAATTAACTAAAGATTCGACTTGACTAAATTTTTACACATCATAGAGAAAAAGACTAGGTATTTCCCATTTTCACATGTCTAAAGTAAATGAACCACTTTACATAAAGTAAAATTAGTCATGTGGATGATATTTCATTCTTCAAAGATGTAAATTGGCATCTCCTTTGCCATTACCAATCTCTGATTCTATTGTTTCAATTAATTCCCATTGTTCTTGGATTTCTTCTTTTTGAAAAATAGATTTAAACCATTTTAGGTGTTCCCGTAGGTCACTATGCAGGAAGTGTCCTTGTCTGCATGCAAAATAGGCACCTGATTTTTGTTTTTTTCTTTGGTAAAATTTGTATGATTCAAAATACCTTTTGCAAATTCACCTGCACATTGGAATATTATATGTCTCAGCACCTTTAATGTCACAACCCTTTGAATCACAACAAGTGAGATAAATGGATGCTCCAAAATGATAACTTTTCAATCTCCTTTCTTGCAAATCTGAGAACATGAGATAAAACTAATAGTCCCAGAGTTATTCCTCTAGTTGAAATAGTTTCTACGACTATTTCTCCAATGTTGTCTACTAATGCTAGATGAGAAGCATCACACCATTGTGCAATCCAAATCTCCAAGTCTCTTGAATGTAGCTTTCAAAATATAGCTCAAAGTCGTCTAATTTAACAATTTCCTGCAAGATAGTAAGATCATGTAAAACAGTTCATCCAGGAGGCCTCGCTATGAACTTTTACGAGCCCTCTTTCTTTGATAGCCTTCTTCTCTTCATCATCATCAGTGTCTTTTCCCAACTATTTAGGGTCGGCTAAACGAATCCTGATCCACCGTTCTACTTTTAGGATTCATGAAACGTTTTGATAAAGTTCACGTTGGATGCCTACCTTACACAACCCACCTCCTTCACCCAAGCTTGGGATGGGGTGAGGGAAAGTTTAAGGTCCTCACCCTTCTTAGACCAAGCCTTCTTCTATTCATATGTCAAATTACGCCACAACACTAGCTTTTCTTTGGAGCATCCCTGCCGCCCTTACTACAACATCTTCTTCTACCCATCTCATATTGTGAATGTGTTGTAGTTTTTATTCCATAGAACAATATCTTCCCATGGTTGAGAGTCCATTTAAATATAAAATTGAAGTATCAAATCTAAGAAACGATAGAATTCAGAATGAATACATCCAAAGGAACTTAGGGGTAGCTCCAAAAGATAATAAGATGAGGAAAAATAGAGTTAAGTAGTTTGTCATGTACAACATCGGCCTAGAACAACACCGATTAAGAGGGAAGATTAGGTTCAAATGGAAGGCTCTAACGAGCAAGGGGAAGGCCCAAAAGGACATGGATAGAAGTAGTGAGAAGAGACATAGTGACTTATGATTTGACTGAGGGTATGGCCCTCGATAGAGCGAAATGACAAAACAAGATTCACGTAGCCGATCCTAGATAGTTGGGATAAGGCTCGAACGATGATGATGATGATGATGATCAAATCCAATATCCCCAAGCCCAGACGACTCTCACTAGAATGAACCGCACCATCTCCATTTGCGGACAATCCTTCATTTCGAATAGTTGTCACAGACTTCACAAGCATGTACATGACATCATGGAATTGGTAATAAATACTTGGATCATTTTTTCTCCAAAAAAAAAAAATACTTGGATTATAGTTTGCAAATGATCATCATAGATTTCCTGGGCTTGTTCTTTTCCTTCAATAGAAGGACATGTATCAAAAAAATTCTAAATTTCTTTTAATTGATTTCAATTGCCATACTATGTTTTTCTGCAAATGAAGCCCTTTGGAGCAGATAATTAGCCCTAGTAGAATTGGCCGTGTCGACATGTCTCAACCTTTTATGTCATGCAGCAATAGGCAACTTGCAATTGTCCTGAGAATTGATGCTTCTTCTAATGGGTCTTGTGTTGTAGAAGAGTAGGCCATTTTTGGGGGCCAGTCTTCTACCACTAGATTCTTTTTTTTCCCATTACATTCATCATCTACCATTATTGTCCTTATCATAAAAAACCCTTCAAAGTTCCAATTAGGAGAACATGTGATTTTACTTGACCTTTGAAAAAAACATTGCAGGAAACTTGAAAATTTTGAGCAAGAGAGTAGTTATCAAACAAAAAAAAAAAAAA